AATATAAACAAAATTATTGATACATTAAAATAAACAACCAAGAACCACAAGTCAAAACAAAGGAAACAACAATTCAAATGTTTTGAGCATCACTGCCATCACATCCATGTATGGCTCTTCTAGATTTTGAATTCCCACCCATCTCTTTCTAGATATAATTTCTAAGTTTTTTGATCTACTTTTACTTCTATAATGAATAATCAGTGGATTTTAGTAAAAAATAAAATCGAGTTTATGATGAATTTAATTCTTGCTTTCGATTTGGGATATTAAAAGAGTACTACATGTTACTTCAAAATTTATCCTTCAATTTTTATTTTTATACTTTTTATAAATAATGAATCAATTAGGAAAGCTGAAGAAATAATCAGCGGAATATACTTCCGATTTGGGACATTAAACTACAAGCGGGCACCAAACAGTCGCAAGACAAGAGTATTTAATAAGGAAAGCTGAAGAAATATCGGGAGGCAGGGTGGCATCTTAACTTTTGCATCCTAAAACAATTTGAAGCACAAGTGGGCACCAAAATGTACCTAGCGGCTGGTGGCTGGCAGTGGCTGTGGTGGTGATGGCTGGGTTAGGGTTTTCTTCTGTTGAAAGTTAAAAGAAATATCGGGAGGCAGGGTGGTGTGGGTAAAGATGGAATGTTGGGTTTTTTACTAAAAAATATATTATTTTTATTAAAATAATTAAAAAATCATTATTATTATTTAATTGAAATCTGTCCCCTAAAGGCGCAGTAAGCGCGCGTCCAATGCTCATGTAGAAAATCCCCAAAAGCGGGGGAAGCGCACGCCTGCCGTTCTGCACTGCACCTGCCATTCCGGAGGCATTTTCTTCCGTGTCCAGCTGTGCCTGGCGCTTTAGGCGCGCTTTTGAAACTAAGATTGAGCCTCCTAAATTTAGATCTGCTCCCATCCCGAACACACTTTTTAGTATAGTAAAATAGTTTTGCAGAGAAGTTGACATATTGCCGCAGCTATTTAATTAATTGTTTTCTAATGTCTTGAACATTTTCTATCAACTATCAGAGCAACATTTAGGAGGTTATATTGATGAACATTACTACTGTTAATGGAGTTGTTTATTTATATGCACTCTGCAGGCAGTTACTGCAATGGTTCAGCAAGCAATGCAATACACTGATGAGAAACCAAATCTTGAAACTCGTATTGAGCTGATCAAGACACTGAACAGTGTGTCTGCTGGAAAGGTGGTTCTGATGTTATCTTTTTTTGGGATATCTTATGTACTGTGTCTATTGTTGTAATGTTCTGGCTAAACAAACTTCTTTATTCTGTAGATTTTTGTTGAAATTGAGAGAGCAAGCTTGATCAAGAAACTTGCAAAGATTAAAGAAGAGCAGGGCCTTATTGCTGAAGCTGCAGATTTAATGCAGGAAGTTGCTGTTGGTTTCCTCTATAATACGATGATAGCTTCTTGGATCTTCGCATTTATCTCCCCTTTTCTTTCTATTTGATTGGTGGGAACTGCAGGTGGAAACTTTCGGTGCCATGGCAAAAACTGAGAAAATCGCCTTCATTCTTTAACAAGTTTGGGCATCTTATTTTGATCATGCCCTTTTTTGTTTTTAACATCATTGTATCTTTTAGATTTAGATTGAATGATAATTCTGTCAAATTGTTTATAATTAATTTTGTAGGTTCGCCTATGCTTAGATTGTCAGGATTATGTTCGTGCTCAGATTCTTTCAAGGAAGATCAGCCCTAGAGTATTTGATGTTGACACCTCAAAGGAGAAAAAGAAATCGAAAGAAGGTGACAATGTTGTAGAGGAGCCTCCTGCTGATATACCTTCACTATTGGAGTTGAAGCGTATATACTATGAAATGATGATACGGTATGTTACTGTTAGAGAAGTCGTTAAATTGGGTCCTTTACTGGGTCCAAGGGTTTCAGTCTCCTTTTGACGAGCTGAATTAGCAATATGAAACGTAACTATTAGGTATCATGAATCAACGGTCCACAACAATGGTAGAGAAGCGAGTAAAAATATGCAAGAAGCTTGACCACATGCAAACAAATATAGAACAGTTTCTTGATCGTATATTGTAGCATGTTAAAGAAATAACTACTAAAACAAAACTTTTTAAGTGTTTGATGAAATACCTGAAGGAATAGATAAATTGATTGTTGGTAAAATGCTTTGTAACTCTACGGTAGATGAACAAAACCGAACCATGAGAGCTTCTATTGATCTCCTTTTCTTATCCTATGCATCAAACCCTCTTAAACCCATTTCGACAAAAACCATGTCAATGACAACCCACTTAATTGGCTTGTCTTATTCATTAACCCCTTAGAAGGACACATCCAACAACTCGTTATTTTCTTTATATTCAATCCAAAAGAAACCTTCAACTTCATATTAGCAAAGTTTAATGGGTCTAAATCTATTGGGTTATTTTTGAAAATACTGAATGCTGGTGAGAATTTTGATTAGATTTATTCAATGGTGTTGATAACTGATAATAAATTTCTGGAGGTCTATGACCCCAATTGGTTTCGACTTTTAGCAATGGAAGGGAACTTTCGTCAAGTTTTTCCTGACTTCAAGCTTGAGGACAAGCTTTTTCTCTAGATGTAACGTTATATGTGACATATATGTCAGAAAGGGTTCGTTATTAAGCCTTAGATTATGCTTTCATTTCTTTCCTTAAGTTTTTTTCATTATGTTTTTATTTCAGTTAAACTATTTCCCTTCTAGAATAGGTTTCTATTTATTTGATAAGATTGATCCTTATTTAAAGGGAGTATGAAATAATAAAACCTTAAGCAGAATTTTTATCAAAAACCTAAAGAGATCTGGGTATTACTTTAATGAGTCCTAAGCTTTCAAACCTCCAATGGAATGCAATGTTATGTGGAAATTATGTTCTCAATTTGGTTTTTCTATGTAGTTATCTTATCAAATATCCAATGCACTTTCAAGTCATTGGAATAATTGAGATTTATTTGTGATAGAAATTTGAAAAATAGATATATCAAATTTAAAGCTGTTATGGGATGTAAATTAGTTCTGTTATTGGATGCAAGAATGAGAACCATAGTTTCTTTATTTCTCTTTAGGGTCTATCTAACTGCAAAGTGGTTGGAGGTGAAATGAATTTGTGAATTACCTCCTCTTTTGATTTGTGGTTGCATTTTACTTACCTTATGTTCTCCTCATCTCTATAGGTATTACTCCCATAACAATGACTACCTTGAAATTTGCCGTTGCTACAAGGCAATATACGAGATTCCTTCCATCAGGGAAAACCCCTCTCAATGGATACCGGTAAAGCACATCTCAATATATCTCCATTTCATGCTCCATTGAGCATTTCTCATACATTTTATTACTTGCAGGTCTTGAGAAAAATCTGTTGGTACTTAATCCTGGCTCAACATGACCCAATGCAGTCAAGCCTTCTTAATTCCACATTGGAGGATAAGAATCTTTCTGAGATTCCGAAATTTAGGTATTTCCTTGGTGAATTTATTGCTCATGAATGTTTCAAGCTGTACGTTTTGTGAAATGAGTTCAATCTGAATACAACAAATTGTTTTCTTCTGTGTTAGGTTGCTATTGAAACAGCTAGTTACGATGGAGGTTGTCCAGTGGACATCCCTTTGGAGTTCTTATAAGGACGAATTTGAAGATGAGAACATGCTTGGAGGCTCTTTGGGTGACAAAGCTGCAGAAGATTTGAGACAACGCATTATTGAGCATGTAATTTGCCTTCCAACTTGGTGTTATATGATTTTGTTCATTTGTGTACTTCTTATCTCATTCTTGATGCCGACCCAATTTGGTTTTCAGAATATCCTTGTTGTTTCAAGGTACTACTCAAGGATTATTGTTTCAAAAAAAAAAAAAACTACTCAAGGATTAGATTGAAGAGACTTGCAGAGTTGTTGTGTCTCACTGTCCAGGTTTGTATGCTTTCAATCCCCCCAAGCTATCTGAGTTTGCTAGAATTAGTCGACAGTTGCATAGGCTTGTGCTCAAAATGCAAAATAAAAAAGATTCACGTGGAATCATGTCGTTTTCATCCTGATTAGTAAACTGATTCCTTTTAATCCAGGAAGCTGAGAAGCATCTGTCTGAAATGGTTGTCTATGGCACTGGTGGCGAAGATTGACCGGCCAATGGGGATTGTGTGCTTCCATGTAGCAAAGGATAGCAATGAAATTCTAAACTCATGGGCTGTGAACTTGGAAAAACTTTTTGATCTTGTTGAGAAGAGTTGCCACCAAATACACAAAGAAACCATGGTTCGCAAAGCTGCTCTGAAAGTGTGAAAAAATGATATTCTTTTTTGTAGGTAGTGGGTTCTCTACTCTGAATGTCATTTTTTACTTGATGCCTTCAAGTTGGCATATGAAAAGTGTTTTCACAAACGTAACATTCGTTTGCATTTTGAAATTCATGTGTGCAGGTTGGGCTGGTTGAACTGTGTTTTCGAATGCAGGTGGTGTAATTGCTGGTTGAATGAGGTGAGTGCCTTAATTCTCACTTTGGTTTCTCGGAAGTTAGATAGCAAGTATAGAGAACCCATGTCATGGCAGGAGGAAAAACAATGAAGTTTAGTTTGGTTATTTTGTATTGTTCAATCTTTGATCCAATTCTGCCATGAATCCTTTTTGAGTTTTCTGTGGTGCTTGGTTTTTTGCCTCAAGAAGAATCTTCATCTGAAATCATTAACACTAAAAAAATACAATATTAGGGTAAGTTTTGCTTTGAATCCAAATTAAACTAACGTTATTCCTTACATTAATATAAAACTAAACTTTTTGAGCTGTTGTATTTTAGAAGTTTTCAATTTAATAATTTGATTTTATACATTGATTTTTCTTGTCACTTGGCCGTTTTCGTACTAACAACCTGATTATGTGGCTTAATTTAATATTAAAGTTAACAAGATTTATAAAAATTAAAATTAAAATAAATTATCATTCAGGACAAAGAAGGCATTCCACTTGACCTGTAACATCTCATCTTCGCCGGGAAGCAGCTCGATGAGGATCCAGAAGGAACCCACTCTCCACCGCTGATATTTCAAACCACTGCCAGCGCCTCCATCATTTTAGTAACATCATCATCATTCACAACTAAGCTCGATGAAACATAAACCACTGCTAAACCCATTTTTCTTAAACCAGAAAAAAGGTTAATTGAAACCCAGTTTCCCGAAACTTATACCAACTCTTATAGCCACAGTTTTGTTTGCAGCCAATCGCAAACACAGCTTGGTCTTGCTCATGCTTTCGATTTCCTCAAGCTTTCAAGCTTTTTGGATTGTATTTTCTTTGAAGACTCAATTGTTACTCCAAGTCTAAGATAGTGCCCACTATTCTACTCTGTTCCGGTTTCGCCTCTCCACTTCAGCCTCTCGTTTCTCCTCACCTAATACTCATGGGCTGTAAGGGTAAGGTCAGTGGGGTTTGAGGTGGGCAATGAGATTTTGAAGTTGGGATACTGAGAGTAATCGTGGGTGTTATAGCTTAGGGATTGAGGGATAGGGGTTTAAGGACTATAAAGGCAATTTTATTATAATAATGTGTTGAAGTGACTGTTTGAGAAAGGGTCCATTTCTTACGCGAATCAAATCTTATCAAAACAAAGGGATGGAATATTATCAAATTGGAGACGCATAGCACGTCGTGTTTCACTCTAGAGACGGCAGGATTACAATGCATCTTAGTCACTCACTTATGCAATTATCCTATTTAAATAAATAATTTTACAACCACATTCTTTTATAATTTTTTTCTGTATAATGCAAACAAATATCCTTAATGTTTGATAGTATATGTAAATTTGTCTCTATTATTTTTTTAGAATATTTGACCCTTTAACATTTAATTTTGATTCAAAAATCATCCCGTTGGATGTAAATCGTTAGTCAACTGACGGTCAACGGTTCAAGCTGACTAAGCAAGCACACGTGAACACAAATAATGATGTGGCGTGTCTACATCACTAATGTATGCTGACGTAGAATTGACACGTCAAAAATTTTTTTGTTAAAAAATTAATATTTTTTTGAAAATTTTGTACCAATGAAAGAGCAACACATGTCACTATCCTATTGGTGCGGATTGAGAAGAACGAATAAAAACCATTTTACATGAAAGGAGACTTGAACTTGGGGAGTGCATGAAATGGAATGTCTCTTGCTATCAGGCCAAGCATACTATTCAATCTTGTAATGAAACAAAATCTTATTTAACTCATAATAATTATTCAGTTTAGTTAAACAAAATAAAACACGGGTTTCAAATATCTCACAACCATTTACGATTAATCTCAAGAATCTCAAAACTAAGCATTTTACAAAAAGAAAAGAAAAAAAAAACGAAACCAAACCCCTGATTAAATGAAACATTGTTAAAACCTGAGTGTGCGCCAAAACCCTGACAACAGTAGCATATTTCTTAATCTTTTCCAATTGAGCCTCAATACTCTTCTTCCCTTCTTCACTCTCGTACTGCTTTGAGTACTTGGTGAAAGCCTTCTTCTTGGACTTGTACCAGTGCTTGTAGAACCTACGCTTGACTTCCTCACTCAGATGCTGAGCCCATACAGTGTTCAAGCTGCGGAGACCACGAGGTGTCTTGACATATCCAACAACACAAGCAATCACCATAGGAGGGGTTTCAATGATCGTGACAGCTTCACACGTCTCTTTCTTGTGAAGCTCTATACGAAATCAAAGAATACAAATTAGGTTGAATATTTGAAAAATTTACAGTAGCTAAAACATGATTAATTTAAATGTTTGAAATCAGAATAACCCAAGGCCTATAGAAACTAGTTCCAGGGAATTTTTTTTACTTACAATGCACTGTTTTCACAAAAGTCAATAAAAGATAATGCATTGATTGTAAATTTCTTCCCTTGTATATCAACATAACCAATGCATTAAAATTTAGCCAAAAAAAGCTCAACACATGTTGAAGCAAGAGTTTATAAAGCTGAAAGAAAGGACAACTGAAATAAATTGCTAGTTACTTAATCAACTTACTTGATCCGGGTTTTTCGACCTCTCGAACAATGTGTGTCATGCCAGCCTTGTAACCCAAAAAGGCAGTGAACTTGCAAGGTTTGCTTGGGTCATCCTTTGGAAATGCATTCACTGTACCAACCCAAAATAACACCAACATATATATAATCATTTAATTACTGCATTTTTAGATAACAAAAAATATAGCTTACAGAAAACTATAGTTTTCTACAGCTACATCACGAACAAATTAACAGAAATAAAAGATAAATAACCTTTTCCTCTGTGACGAGAAGCTCGCTTCCTGGGAAGAAATCTAAGGGTGCTCAAACTTTCTGTGAGACATTCTTCCCCACCTTCACCGCCATAAAAAAAATGAATAAATTCATAAAAAAAGACAAAACGAAAGAAGTTATTTAATCTAAGACAAAAGATAATGATTTTCAAAGTGAAACCAATTCATGTTCTTAAAGAAAACAGAGACGAAAGTTTACATTTTCTCTTATTTTCCACAATTTTCAATGTAAATGTGGCTAAAAAAGCCGAAGATTGAGCGGACACAAAGAAGAGAGAGGGAGAGACCTGAGACTGATCCGCGCGGCGAATGCTGTGGATGGCTGTGAGATATTTGAAATGCGTTTTTTATTTTGTTTAATTAAATTATATATTTATTATGGGTTAAATAAGGTTTTGTTTCGTTACAAAATTGAGTAATATGCTTGATCTGGTAGCAAGAGGAATATCATTTCACGCCCTTACCCCAGGTTGATTCACCTTCCATGCAAAATGGTTTTTATTCATTATTCTCAATATGCACCACACTCTCTCATTGGTACAAATTTTAAAAAAAAATTATTAATTTTTTTAACAAAATAAATCTGGCATATCAATTTCATGTCAGCATACATTAGTGACGTGGGCACCCCACATCATCATTTGTGTCCACATATGCTTGCTTAGTCAGTTGGAGCCGTTGACTGTCAGTTGATTAACAGTTTCCATCCAACGGGAATGACTTTTGAATCAAAATAAAATATTGTGGGGTTAAATGTTTCAAAAAAACAATAGGGACAAATTTGCCTATACTGTCAAACGTTAGATGTATTTATTTGCATTATGCCTTTTTTTTTTCTTCAATCACATTATTCTAATAAAATTCCGATTTTATAAAACAATTATACGATATTCACTCGATGTAAATACCCACGAATAAATATTTAAATGCACAACACTTTAACTGAAATTTAATATATAAGTGTATTTAATAATAAATTGCTTAAAATCTGGATTCGATATTTTAACTCATTTTCCAAATCATCATTTGTTATTAAAAAAATCATTACAATATTTTTAATATAATATAGTTTATAGAATTATTCTAATAATATTTTAAAAGTCGAATTTCATAAAAAATTAACCGAATACTTTAAGACTATAAAAACTCATTTAATATTGACTAAAATAATAATTAATTGAGAAAATCACATTTAAATTTTAAAATTTGAGGTGTTACAATATTACTTCTTCAATGTTTATATTTTTATTTATCAACTTTTTTTGTTCATGATCAACCAAAACACTCCTCCCTCTCCATTCCCATGCCTCGTTCTTTCAAACGAAGATGATATTTTTATTCAAGGTTTTGGTATAAATTTAAACAAAATCTTGCCAACTAAACTTACATATGATGTCATCTTAAACCATCTCCTTGAAATGTCAGCGTTGAATAAAGTAAATGTTTGCAACACGGAAAACTAAGGTGTGTTTTCTTGCAACTTAGCTTAACTACCCTCCTATGCTATATGCTTTAGTACCATGTGATTAGGTTTAAGCTGGTTTGACTTTTCAACAAAATATATTCTTCTCCGATTTGATTTTTTTAAAATTATTTTTTAATACTAGTGTGACATTATCTAGTATATTAGCATTGTCTTTAATTTTTTAATATTGGTGATCAAAACAAAAACTAAGTAATAAATGGATGACCAAGTAAGATAATTTACCTATCATATTAGCAGACAAGTACTCGTCTAGGTTGATAAAGGTAAGTCTAATAAGTAACCTAACTAAAACTGTACCTATTATATTATGATATGATGCTTGGCTCTACCATTTTAGTAGAGTTGAACTCTGGTTTAAGAAGAAAACAGGAAAGAAAAAGCTTGTAGTTATTATGACAGATCACCAGCAGAAAATTCATCCCGTGGTGGATACCGAAGCACCGCCTCCCACGGTGCCTTTGGAGCCTCGTGGCTCCGCTACGTCGGAGAAAGACAACTCGATTCAACAGTGTCCACCGATACATGCTGCTCCGGTTATTCAAACAAGGCCGCCGAAGAAGAGAAGCTGTTGCTGCAAGTGCCTATGTTGGACAATTAGTCTCATTGTGCTCCTCCTTATAATCCTGGGTGCCACTGTTGGGTTTCTCTACCTTGCCTTCCGCCCCAAACTCCCCAATTACTCCGTCGACAGCCTGAGAATAAGCGATTTGAGGCTCAACTTCGACATGACATTGTACGCGAGATTCGACGTCAAGATCACGGCGAATAATCCGAACAAGAAGATCGGAATATACTATGAGAAAGGAGGGCGATTAAGCGTGTGGTATACAAACACAAAGCTTTGTGAAGGGTCATTGCCCAAGTTCTACCAAGGCCACCAAAACATAACCAAGTTGGATGTGGTGTTAACCGGACAAGCCGAGTCGGGAAGCACTTTGATGTCAGCCTTGCAACAGCAGCAGCAAACAGGACAGATACCCTTGGATCTTAAGGTTCATGCCCCTGTCGCTGTTAAACTAGGGAAGTTAAAGATGAGGAAGGTGAAGATATTGGGAGAATGTAAATTGACTGTTGATAGTTTATCTGCAAACAACATCATTAGCATTAAAGCCAGTAACTGCAAATTCAGATTGAAGCTCTAAATTTTTCTTTTATTAGTTTATTTTGTATGTACTCATTGTGTTATTCAGCTTAGTATGGGTCACATTGATTTTGTACTGTTGATATAACATTCAAGTTGTTTGCAGAAATTTATCACTTTATGAAAATAAAATTCTTCTGATAAATAAAAATGGTCTGAAAGATTGCTCTTCTATTTTAGTGGAGTAGGTAAACGAATTGATTTTCCCCTCACAAAGCAACCAGCAGAAGAAGGAAACTTCTGTTGTGCGGCGCCTAAAAAACGGTATGACAGGTTAAACAAGTGACCGGTTAAAATTTAGACTGGTTATGTTATATCATTTAACAGGAAATATTATCAAGTACAATAACATATTAGGTAGCGCTTATATAATAAAATAGGCATTTAACCGGAAATATTATCAAATATAATAACATATTAGGTAGCGCTTATATAATATAATAGGTAGCGCTTATATTGACCTATTTTCTAACTAAACCGGTTTATTTATACCGGTAACATTGCAAATTTACCTATTACATTATAATTATCGGTTTCGATATTTTTGGGATTGATACAATTTTAAATGTATCGACACTTTATGCATGCACCTCGTTGGGCATTCATTCTGGAAAAAAGTATCGACACAAACTTAAAAAGTGTCGATACATTATGCAAAACTATTTTCTCATAAAACGGGTATATTTATATCAGGTACAGTGTAAATTTACCTATTACATTGTAATTATCAGTTTCGATGTTTTTGGGATCGATACTTTTAATAAATGTATCGACATTTTATGCGTGCACCCCGTTTGGCATTCATTCTGGACAAAAGTATCGACACAAGTTCCACAAGTGTCGATACATTATGTAGACCTATTTTTTCATAAAACCGGTAAATTTCTACCGGTTACATGTAAATTTATATATTACATTATAATTATGGGTTTCGATGTTTTTGGGATCGATACATTTTATAAATGTATCGACACTTTATGTGTGCACCATTTTGGGTATTCATTTTGGACAACAAGTATCGACACAAGTTCCACAAGTGTCGATACATTATGCATACCTATTTTCTCATAAAACCGGTAAATTTATACCGGTTACATTGTAAATTTACCAATTACATTATAATTATGGGTTTCGATGTTTTTGGGATCAGTACTTTTTATAAATGTATCGACACATATTTAGGTAGTTATTGTACATACCTAAATATATCTTGCAAATTTAATGTTGTACCCACCCTTCAACTACCACTACCACTACCACATCCTATTGAAAGCACGACTGAAACATGTTGTTCAATGAACCTTTACTTACATCTCCATCAACTCCGGGACCACTGAACTTGCACAACAAAATTTTTGCCATAGATCATACTGATGCAGACAATGTTAAGCCGACCAAGGAATGCCATGAAGTACATAATGTTGATGAATCTAACATATTAGTTGGTCAGCTCTTCTCTTCACGTGATCAAGCTTGGTACTTTTACAAGGGATTCGCATGGGAACATGGGTTTAGTGAACGTAAGGGAATAACACGACTTGACGTGGAAGGGAATGTGAGGACACAAGAATTTTGTTGTTCCAAAGAAGGGTTTCGAGTATCAAAAGTCAATACTGTTGATCGTCAATGTGCTCATATGCCAGTCACAAAAATAAGATGCAAGGCTAGAGTCGTAGTTACAGCAACAAATACAAACGATCACTGGGTTATAATTAAGTCTTATCAGAAACATAATCATGCATTGTGCACACCTAGTATGAACCATTTATGCATTCTAATAGAGCTGTAAGTAAGGCTGATATCGATGAGGTAACAGCATTGAAAGAGGTCAGTGTTGGCACGTCAAAAGTAATGAACTATTTAACAAACAGACAGGGGCCTATCATAATGTTGGATTTACACATAAAGACCTCTACAATGCACTTCAAAGAGGTAAAACAAAGGAAATCATCGATGGGATGTGAATGCTCTTATTGCTTACTTTGATTATAAGAAACATGATGATCCCATGTATTTTATGACATACTCGGTAGAAGAATCAGGGGCATTGTATAATCTTATTTAGTCGGTACATCGAGATCAGATTACACATGCTTCGGTGATGTAATTGCGTTCGACACAACGTACAAAGATAATTTGTATGGTCGAACAATTATGCCTATTGTCGGTGTCAATCATCATCATAACAGAATTGTGTTTGCCACTGCCATAATCACTGACGAGATGTCCCAATCTTTCGAGTGGATGCTACAGAATTTTTTAGAAGCTATGATGAATAAATACCTATTTTAGTTGTCACCGATGGGGATAGGGCAATGCAGATGGCTATCAAATCTGTTATCCCATATGTTAAGCACAAATTATGTTCTTAGCATCTTTCTCGCAATGAACAAACTAACATTGGTAACCCAAAATTTACAAAAGCATTCTCAAAATGCATGGCTTCCTGGTGGACAACCGAGGAATTTGATATTCAATGGCGTTCGGTTGTTTCAGAATTCAACGTCGAAAAGCATCCATGGGTGATTGAGAAGGGAAATACTTGGCACTTATGGGCACAAGCATATCTAACCGGTCATTTCTTTGCCAATATTCGCTCAACACAAAGGTGCGAGTCTATGAATGCTTCACTCGCGATTGCACTGAAACACAAGAAGACATATTTAGATGTTGTTCGTGCAATTGAAGATGTAATTAGTAGAATGCGTATGAACGAGTTGAAATCGGATTACTTAAGTTCCCAGACGAAGCCCTTCCAGATCACAAAACTGGTCAACCTTGAAAACCACACTGATGAGATTTATACACGCAAATCTTTCCGTGCGTTCCAAGATAAACTTCAACGGGAGACATTATACCAGATTCAGGAAGAGATTCTGTCCTTATCAGATGAATGCCAAAATTATATTTTGAAAAAGTACAAAGAAAAAATAGGACATTTGAAATTAGTTTTGATTCTCGTACGAAAACCGTAAATTGCTCCTGCAGAAAATTTGAGACTGTCGGACTTCCGTGTCGCCATCAACTTCAAATCTTGAAGCACTTGGATTACACATATTTGCCTGGGACTTTAATTCAAAGTAGGTGAACTAAGGATGCGAAGGCTTCTATACCCAGTTATGTTGACTTGAATGTGCCTCCAGAAGTAATGCAAATTGCAAGGGTTGCTGCTCTATATGCAATGTCAAGTAGGTTATGTTACATTGCATCAAAGAAAGACGCGTCTTTCAAAACCGCAAGAGATGAGATAAAAGACGAACATAAGAATTTGAAAACTCGTTTGGTTTGAATGATTCAGTCAACCAAAGCAGTGTAGTAAACAACTTTCGCGACCCTCAACGAAAACAACACAAGCGAAAAGAAGTACCAAAGAACAAGGTCGAGAAGCAAATTAGGCGATGTGGGTTCTGCAACGGTGAGGGACATAACAAACTAACATGTCCTCAAGTCGAGCTCAATTTGAATACAAGCACATAACCTACATCAACTGATTTTTTTTGAAGACGGAATGAAATGGCCATTCAGTCCCGTACGTGATGACAACGATCTCCATATATCGTAAGTATCAACATGACTCCTATTGTGTATAAGAAACATGTACAACAACCTATTGCTAACTTTTCTCATCTCATACAACCTATTACATTCATATACAAAATTATAAATCGTATACTAAATTATGAATCATATACAAAATTTCCCTACATTAACAAAATTTTCTCTCTTAGTCTATTTTGATTATGGCTTACGAGACCGTTTAATATTTCATCTGCATAATCACATAAATGCCAAAATTTTTGTAGACTAGAGTCTCCCACAATGAAGGCCGAAATTAGTTCTATAACTGGGATTATCCAGCTTAATCATGTTGACTACATAGTCAATAAAACCTAAGGGTCCAAATGGTAAGCTGGGAATTGGTAAGACAAGCTTTATTTGAGGGTTTATGGTTTAGAGCCTTCCAACGTAAGGAGTGCATGATTGAACATTACGTATAATAGTTGTATTTAGTTGTTAAGGAATTGTTCTTAATTTTATATAAGGATAGTTGTAATGATATACGTTCACGTTTCGTGACCAATTAGTTAGATGCATGCAATACCCTATATCCTCGAGACAGAGAACAAGAAATCTGACACTTAAAGATTTACCAAGAGCAGTAGTTGTTTCTCTGAAAGAAGACCGAACCTATAATCAACTTTGCAATTATGCCTATCATGCTGAAGAGAACATGCTGAATGATAAGATTTGCACACAACTGTAAGCATTTTAAACCCTAAACCCAACTACTCATATGGAAAATTATGCAACAGAGATGCCAATCATTTTATGGGAAATCTTGACATCTCTGTTGCATAATTTTCCATGTGAGTAGTTGGGTTTAGGGTTTAAAATGCTTGCAGTTGTATGCAAATCTTATCATTCAGCATGTTCTCTTCAGCATGATAGGCATAATTGCAAAGTTGATTCTAGGTTTGGTCTTGTTTCAGAGCAATAGCTACCGCTCTCGGTAAATCTTTAAGTGTCAAATTTCTTGTGCTCTGCCTCGAGGATATAGGGTACTGCATGCATCTAACTAATTGGTCCCGAAACGTGAACGTATATCATTACAACTATCCATATATAAAATTAAGAAAAATTCCTCAACAACTGAATACAACTATTATAAGTAATGTTCAATCATGCACTCCTTACGTTGGAGGGCTCTAAACCCTAAACCCTCAAAGGAAGCTTGCCTTACCAATACCTAGCTTACCATTTGGACCCTGCAAGGGGTTTTATTGGCTATGCAATCAACATGATTTTGAGCTTCCTTTATCCTTTCGCATTCAGTCAGACTGTAGAGATTTGAATTAATTAAAAGTTATTAAATACTTTAATCCCATTACCATTTCAATGAATACATTGATACTTACTGGTCGGTTTCGATTTTCTTCAATATTGATACGATGGGGCTCCATTTGATGGTTATCATCGTCGCGAACAAAGATTGAACTTTCAACCTATAACCATTCAAAAACAGCAAACTTTAAAACCTAACCC